GCCTGTCCCTCCCTCCTTGTCCCCGTGGGGCCTCGGGGACCCCCGGCACTGCTGACACCCGACTGCTCCCTTTCCAGCCTGCACCGCTACAAGCACCCCTCGGACGAGGAGCTCTGCGCCCTGGCAGGCAAGCAGCGCCCCAAGGGCAAGCGGGACAGGTCAGCTCAGCGCGTGTCCGCGGCTCCGGTGGGCAGGAGGGACTCCAAATGATAAATATGTTTGATTTGGTGACAATGGAAGTCATCTCGGTGTGCTGGCGGACTCCCCCGGGGAGGTGCGGCAGCGGATGGGTTCGGGGCCGGTGCTGGTGACGAGGAGCCCCAAGCAGGGGACGGGCGGCCAGGCAAGGGGCTTTGGGCACCGCGGGACACAAGGGACGAGCCAGCTCTTTGCCTGCTGTCCTGTGCCTGGGTTTCCCTTGCAGGAGGATGAACGGCGTGATGGATGACAAGCCCCTCTCTGTGCCCCGGGACATCGACCTCCGCCTGGACACCAGCCCCATCACCGCCGTGGATGCTCTCGGTAACCCCCCCCTGCACCCACCGCTCCCTCTGCGCGCAGGACCCAGCATTGCTCTGGACCAGGGACCCTTGGCCATGGCCAGGACCCCCCTGCGGGTCGCTGTGGCGTGGTGACGTGTCCTTCTGTCACACCAGTGCTGCGCTACTTCCTGGACTACCAGTGGTTCGTGGATTTTGCCGTCTACGCCACCGCCGTGTACATCTTCACCGAGGGCTACTACTGCCTGGCGGACCCCCAGAGGGAGATGAACATCGGGGTGCTCTGGTGCCTGCTGACGGTCATCTTCTCCGTGTATCCTTCTGCCAACTTTTGGGGTGCAATTGCCACCACCCGCCAGGTCCAGGGCGGGAGAGGGAACGCGCCGTCCTTGGTTTTTTCCCCATTAAAAGCCAGTTGAGGTGGAAAACTTAAATTTATGGATCTATAAAGCACTCACGGATGAGCTGTAAAGGTGCCTAGTGAGAGCCTTCCCCATAGAGAAGGTGGCAGCAGCCTAACGACGCGGATGCTTTACAATGTGCTAACGAGCAGGGTTGTCCCACTGGCGTTGGGTGGGGGTCCCAAAGCCCCCCGGTTTCCTTGACAGCTGCCCCTCGCCCGCAGCAAGGTCTTCTTCATGGTGATGCGCCATTACTTCCGCTCGGAGGAGGGGGGCGAGCGCTCCGTCTGCCTCACCTTCGCCTTCTTCTTCCTCCTCCTCGCCATGGTGGCCCTGGTCATCCGTGAGGACTACCTGGAGTTTGGCCTCGAGCCTGGTGGGTGAGGGGAGATGGGGAGAGGCAGGCGAGCGGGCGGTCCCTGGGGGCTGGGGGCCCCCCACTCATGGGGGGGGTCGCTCGCCACAGGGTTGGCCAGCGTCAGCAGCAACCTGGAGAGCATCCTGAAGCAGCGGGGCTGGGAGTGGACGTGAGTTGATGACTGGGCAGGGAGGGAAATGGGGGTTTTGGAAGGTTTTTTTTGGAGGTCTCGGGGGGAGAACCACTCTGTCCCTCCCGTGCTACCTTCTCTCTCCGCAGGCTGCCCCTCGCCAAGCTGGCCTTCAAGCTGGGGCTGGTGGCCCTGTGCTCCTTCCTGGGCGCCTGCCTGACCTTCCCGGG